ATGATACTCTCAGTTGTGCTGAGGAAACTGGGATAAGCTGTGGCGAGGTGGGCCACTTGGCTCCAGTTGACTATCCTGATGACCCAGCAGACACTTTTATTGAAATTCTCATTTGAGTCACACAGTTAACATGCACATTTAAAAATCCCAGGACAAAATCAAGGTCATATTCAACAGTTTCCAGAGAGAAAAAAAACCATTTGATCAATTAGTTTGCAAAACATGTTTCAACAAAGATAAGCTGTCTTCATAAAGTAAATAGTTTGAACCTGAGGAACATTAGTCACTACTATCAACAACAGTCCTTCTCAGGTCTACAATCACCTGGACAATCAGACTACACCATCACATGTTATCTTCAATTCATCAATTTCTGATGACGTACTACCACATGCCTACCTCTGCCACTTCTTTCTGAAACACAAGTGCCATTGGTGTTCTACCAAAAGTGAATGGCCCAGCTCTCTGTGGAATTGCTTCAAGCCATTGCAGAAGAAGAGGAATAGATACATTGAATGGAAGATTTCCCACCATACGAACACCTGGAACTTCTGAAAATTAACAAAATCAAACAAACAAAAAACTTAGCAATACTTTTACCCCAGGATTTCAAATCTTTCCTTATCATACTTTGCTTTGTTAGGTTTTATAAAAATCATTTGATCCCTAAGAGTGACTAGCATCTAATTCATCCTTACAATATCACCCCAGAATCAAACATAAAGGTCACAAGAACTAAGAAAATGATCACCAAATAAAAAAGCTCTTGATTGTCAAAACAGTTCACCTTCTCAGCAACATCAGAAAGATATAGAGAAAAGTAAGGAGAAAATGCATACTGATGTTAGGGTATAAAGGGTTTACTTTATTTATGGAACAGAAGTTACATTTGTTTCCTTGTGTGTTGTGTGTTAAAATATAAAAACACCCCTTTTCTTTAGAACTTACATATATTCCCTATTGTCCTCCTTTTGGCCCAAAAATGTATTATATTTGACAGTTATTGCTGACACAAACTGAAGTTTTGTAAGCCTGAACCAAAATCATCAGGGTAAAGAGAAGATGGCTCCTGACTGGATTACCAATGCATCAGCTCCGCTCACAACCTACAATTTTTTTAACTGGACCACTCTCATCAAGATGATGATATTAAGGAAACCTAATGTATTTTGGCAATATGCATGAATTTCAACTCTTAACAAACTACCTGTGTGCCAATGCACAGCATCAGCTTTTGGTAGAGCATCTGGTATGTAAAACTTCATGATGTCTGCATGATGTATTGACAGTCTTCCTCTGCTGGCACTTTCAAGCATCTAATGATGATACAGCAGTCAGAGAATAAGACACCAGTTAACTTAACAAAAAAATTAAATTTAACTTGATGCAGTGTAATAATGACAAAATACTATCTGAACATGACTTGTTATCTAGCATTCATGTTCTTACTGACATGGTGCAAGATTTTCCTTGTATCTATTTTTTACACACATAAACTGATTTGAAAATTTTAAACCATTCGTAGATTTGAACCACAACCTTAATGACATATGTACATGTATTTCAAGAGCAAGCCTCTTCTAAGTTTTACTTTAATGAACCAATCAATATTGACCATTCCTGTGGCTAGATGACTCTCAAACACATAATGAAAGTGACTGGGCTCATGACATAGCCAAAAACAATTTTCTAAGCATTTGAACAACTAACAGCCCTCATTAATGCCATTGCAATCTATAATTATAAGAAATATCACTCACTTAATCCCTCTCAAGGTAAAAAGTGAACAAACTGTTCACAAAAAGTTTTCACCTTTTTTCTAATGGTTTTAGCTCAAGTGTACAGTGTTCTCCTTTTCAGGCAGTAATCATTAACATTTAACGTCTGTAGTACCTCTTATTACTGTTTAAAATATCTTGGAATTTTTGAAAATTCAACTGGTAGAAGGATCCCTATTTTACTTGTCATGCTTAAAATAAGGGAGAACACTGAGTGTAACTATCGATTGTGTGTTTTGATGGTGGAGAAAAGGTCTCTTCTCTGTGTATTTGTGCAATTCACTCAGATTTCAACAAAAAAAATCTTAGTCAGATCTATTTCTCTAAAATTGCCTCTTCTCTGACTCTCTTCACTAGCAGGGTGCTGAGGGTGAGGATAAAATCAAACCTTAACCCTTTAATTCCCAAGATCTCATTAGTAATTCTCCTTACCATCTGCCATACAATTCACATAATAATGTGATGTTAGTTCAGAGAATTTGGTACTGGATCAAATAATAATCCCCTTCTTGATATTGTTATTCTCATTCTTGTCTGTTTGGTATTGCACTGATATTGTAAGGAGAAATTCTGTCTTGGACACTCATGGGAGTTAAAGGGTAAGATTCTTCACTTTCCTCAGCCACGTCAGTTAAAATGACAATGGACAAGTCAAATAGCCTATTTCCAAATCACTATTAGCCTCTTTTTCAAAACAAATCCTGGTGCTCATCCTTCTATATGATTATAAGTTTTCATTCACATGCAAATTTATCTCATTTTCATAGGAATGGTTGAGCACCAGGCCTCATTTTGAAAAAGACGCCAAAGGTAATTCAGAAAAAGGCCTATTGCATACTTCTAAAGAGGGAAGAAATCTCCTGTCAATTTCCACAGCAGCAATATGTTTGGCTCCAGCATGTAGCAAGGACCTCGTAAGTGATCCTGGCCCTGCTCCTACTTCACAAACATGGCAATCAAACACATCTGCAACTTTTGCAATCTTATCTGTTTATAAAAAGCACAGTATGCATGTAATCTAATGAGAAATCTTCATGTTTCCAGCAAGAACAGTATACCATTAAGAAAGATGTTTTAAAGAACATGTTACCAACATGAGACAAATTAAGATTCTAATCATCAGCAGGGGAAATGAAATCCAACCACCAACTTTATTTTGTAATCAACTGATGATTCAGCTATCTTACCCAAGTTATCTCAGAGCTAATCGATTAAACGAGCAAGCAAGACCTCTGAAAATTAAAGTTCCATGATACTTTCACAGTTAATGGTTGATGTCAAAAGTAAGGAGAAAAAAAAGAAAACACAGTTGTTCTGAAACTGACACCTGAGAGATTCCACTAAAACAAATTTTTTCCTCTTTCAAATAATCAGTCCTCTCTCTCCCCCCCCCCCCTGATCTTTCCAACCCCCATGCCACTTCCCCTTAACACACATTAACACCGTTGGCATTACCTGTAATGTTCAGATCAAGAATGAAATTTTGGCTAAGTTGCTTCTTCGCAGACAGCCCATACACACGAAGGAGGTCAGCCACTTTTGGCATAGGAGGAAGACGAAGAGGCCGTGGATTGGCAGACATTATCCAAAACTGGCTACTCTTATAGATACTTGATAATCATACCGATAAATCAAGCGACGAAAAACGGTATTGAAAACTTACTGAAGATACCCGTGCATCAACGTCCGCCATCTTGAACTTCCTACTTATGAGTAATACCGCTGACATTGTTCGGATTACATGTTTTGTCCCAGTTTTACTCGGCTGGATTCGCTATTCAGGGATTTGTTTGTTCGTAAGTTTGAATAAGATAGCATGTTCGTTTGTTTATTTGTTTTTAAAGAACAATAGCCCTGAATAATGGAGGACCGCATTTCTTGGTTAAGAAACGCTCTTTTAATAAAATGGAAATTGGTTTATATGCAGTTATAAACATCAAATTCTTTCTTTCAGTTGTATGGTTAAAATTTTTCCCGGCAATTACCGACATTCCATTGACTATCGAGGTTTTACTATTGCTTTAAATCGCTGGAAAAAAGGTTATCCCTACGTGAGTGAAAAATATTCTCACAATCTTTTCACCAGGGCTAATCAACACGAAACGGACTTCGCCAGTCTATATTTTCGGAATAACCACATGTTATATTCGGCCTTGTTCGGAAATATGAGCGACTGACGAGTCATCCCCTTGCTAGCTTAATAATACTTTTAAAGGGACCTTGTGTTCAGTTTTGCTAAGAAAATAACGAATGGGAGAAAGGGGCTGCAAGGGTTTTCTTCTACCTTTGGTCTTTTGAAGGCCCAGACCAAGTTACACTTGGTATTACATTATAGTGACGCTCTTAGACAACAAAGCGTTTTAAACATGATTACCGAGTTGTATTAAAGAATACTCAGTTCTTTTGCTGAAGACTGGATTGATCATGACGAACTAATTTCATTTTTTAGGCACTAAGATTCCCACAAAGGTTATTTTCTATATAGCAGCAAACAGCAATCGATCCCGCAAAGTGAGTCTTAGGGGCAAATGTATGACGTGCACTAGAACCATCGAGAGAGGACCATGTAAATGATGTAAGTACCAACTGGTCAGTACAGAGAGAGTACTACTTTGATCGAACATATAGGTGCACTTTTGAAAAATACTTAAGGTCTAAGTAAGGTTATCCCGCCGTGATACAACCTTCATCTCAGCGTGCATTCATGAGAAACCCACACTCGTCAAATGGCAGATTCGAGCCCTCACTTCCTTTCATAGTCTGGAGGTGACTTCAAATATTTATCAGGTGTTATTCTTGCACACTTTTGGATATGCATGCAGAGGTTACTTAATAGAACGTTTATTTCTCTCAGCGACAAGGATGTATGTCAGAGAGAAAAACCCTTGGGCGATGGCTACTCTTTCATCACAAAAACTCCAGGTCAATAGAGAAAAGAGCACATGTAAAATATAAGCAAGCGAAACTTTACAACGAGCAGCACAGTGCTCCCGTTGAAAGGGTGGCGGGGTCAACTAAAAAAAAATATTTTGTGCTGAAAGGCGCCGAAAAGCTGTGATCAGAAAGCGAGAGGCGCAACAGAAATAAAAACGTCTACATTTAACCCTTAAAGATTGAAAAAATTGCCCTCATGACAGATTTATAGGGAGATATCACGCTTCTGCGGCGTTTTCTGTGACTTAAGAATAGAATCGGTCCTCCTACACCATCATATGTTTCCCTAAAATCTCGATTGGTTTTGTGTTTACTTTTGTTAAAGTCGAAAGAGGGTTACAGCTTAACTAAGCTGAGCGACACATGCAAAAAAAGGAGTGAAATTATAAATACAATACTGCATATATGTCAAAGGGTGTCTTTTTCTCTCTCAAGATGTCACACATGGTTTTAAAATAAACTTTTGATTTGATAACTCAGATATGGAGCCAGCTAGACAGCTCTATTTGCAGCTAATGATAACTGAAACTTTTGTAAGTCAAGTCTTTTCACAAGCAATGGACAAGAAACGTCAGTTTAACATGTTTTGAATCTCATAATGTCGGAATATCTACAAGCGCCCGGTCTTTGGTGAAGGTAACTCTTTTAACTATATGAACTATAAATGCCAATCAAATGAAACAATGTTCTCAAAAGGGACCAGTGGAACAGGTGGTTAAGTTCCGCCCACTCTACCCGTTAATAAAACGACTCTCTCGTAAACTGCCAAGCTTCAGTAATTACGTTCGTCAACTGTGCCCCTATCATCAAAAATAGTCTAACAGGGAGGCAAATCACAGAGAGGCCAAGTGCTTTTTTGACATTTAAATCAGCGTTCGTTTACTCGTTGGAGATTTTAATTTCCGGCCATATTGTATGGAAACCCGTTTGAAGATCCAATCCCACGGGAAGCCATTTCAATGGCTTAATTATCGCCTTATGCCCATCATGCTTACTGCTGTATATTCTATGCGCTAATCTTTTTAATTGCGTGAAACTTCAGTTATAGGTCAATGAGGATATTGTATTTACTTTAGAGGCAGCTGTATGTCATGGACAGTTTACTCACCTTGATAGTACAGAGTCGCCCCGAACGCTCAATCGCTTTGAATTCTTTCTCCAATCTCACATCTTCCTGTAAAATCTAAAGAAACAATTTTAGACGATAGGAGATGAATTTTAGATGATTTTGGAAGCCACATATTTCCATCAACTGCTCAATTTCTATGCTATAACACCATTTCCGAAGTTGCTTTCTTTCTTGTCGGCTGAAAGCACTCTCTGTTGACATATCATTTGCACTGGCGAGACGGTTGTCTTCTGACTTTTATTTTGTGTTCGATCTTCAATGAAATAACTTCGGCACCCTTAACAATTAAACTTTGTCACCTTCACTAAGGCAATGGATACACATCTTTATTGCAACGAAGACTTCAGAAGTGTAATATTGCCTGCTAAAACATTGTTATTATTGCCCAGTTTTCACTTACTCAAGAATTAAAGCGTTCGTATCAACCATGATATTTCCGACACTCGTGTCCACACAACCACTTATTTACCTTTGGGCTTTCGTGGGGAAATAAACTATTAGGACAAAGAAGCAGGGTTGTTATTATAATCGCTAATGGGCACTTTTATTTTCCCAGCATCAGGAAATATTTTGCAGTAAGACGCTAATAGACAGCTATAGTCGAGCTCGATATAAGGTTACTGTGTAGTAATTCTGGGACAAATGTCGACTACTATGGCGAAACGAAGACTATAAGATATGGTAATCAATCTGCCAATAACCTTTAAGTGATTAGGAGATAAAACATTCTAAATATTGCAATTGGAGCTAGAGAAGTTCTTCGTGTTCACTTTATATATGGCTGAGGTTTATGCCTAGGTTTTCAACCTCCGATGAGTTAATGCTCAGAACGTGCTTTCGTATTTCAATATTTATGGGGAACTAATTACACTTTAAGAGAAAAAAAACGTTGCTGATATCGGTGTACAGGAAACGTATTTATTACAAAGCAGGTTAGTCAATCTTCAGATATTTATTTAGGGATATTCAGAAACGTTTAATAAACTGGTGGTTTATATTTTTGGCCTATTTGGAGGCAATGTTTGTCAACGTCTCCAGACGAAATGTGAACCAGCACACAATAACGTTCTTTTTTTCTTTTCTGTTTTCTTAAGCATATTACTTCACGATTTAAATGGATAAAGACTCTTTGTTAAAGTAAGACACCGGTTTTAAACGATCAACCAAAGAATCAGAGATGAACCCCGCAAATGGGCTGATGAAGGTTATACACTCTTGGCTCAGTGCTATAGTTGGCATAAGATCGCTCAATAAAGTGAATTCTGGCATGGTTTTCAAATTTGTTATTTTAGAAATTACCCAACAGAATGTTTTGTACCGAAAGTTGTTATTTTCAAACTACCTCGTTGAATAAATAATTCATACCAACATTGGCACACTCCAAGAGTGCAATATGTTCAAAATTAATTTCCAGAATCAAGATAACAAAACAAACTTCCCGCAGGCATTCATCGCATAGAAAAACACTATGAATTGGGGGGAAGGCCATTCAAATTGTTTGTAAAAGACATGAGGCAGTTCCTGGGTGGAAATGACAAGTCTGTCCAATTTCCCCTTCTCTAGCGTTTATACAGTTTATCGTAACAAAAAAAGGGCCCTCAAAGAGTAAGTCCACTTGAGATAAAGGTGCACTATCGGCTGGCTATGTTATGAAAGGAAATCAAGGCTGTAAATGGCTGCTCCTGGATATTATTAAAGTTCAATTCTTTAGCAAGTTTTTATTTGGACAGAACGTGGCTCCCTGAATTGATCGAGTTGACAATGCGATTGAAAATGTAGATCGAATCGTCCTTTTGCGCAATTAAGAATAAAAAATTATGATTTATTTATAGCTAAGAAAAATTAAAGTACAACGCTCCGTTTTGTAAGCACTTGATAAGCTAGCGCTTCGTTTAAAGAGAGGGACAGTATTTTGTACTAGAAACTCCGAGTTAAAATGCTTTTGTTCGCGGTAGAAGTAAGGAGCACATAAAAAGAATTGAGTTAGCGTTTATCTTCAGAGTAAGGGTTCACAAGGAGCGATGCAAAATAAAAATGGATGAAGAAACCTTGAAAGAGTCGAACTCTTAGCTTGTACGAGGCATTGTAACAACTCATTGTTGCTGTTTTAGCAACATAAAAACCAGATTTATTTTGCACACCGACACTATTTCTATATTAATACTATGTCCCTAGAAGTAATCAAAGCAGGCATATGCTCACTTCACATATGCGTGGGCCATGGAAATTTAACCGAGAAGCTCTTCTTTTCGTAGCTTCACTTTTTTCTCTTGGGAATCTAATTTCAAAAAATATACATGATAAAAACCGTAGGGTTTAAAAGACGAATGGGTGAAAGGATTCGCTCTCAAAGGGCACACGAAGCCACACATATTAACCAATAACAAATCAAATTCTAAAGTCATCTATTACCTATCTCAAACACCAATCATGATCGAAAGATCGACATCGAACACAACTCAAATTTTATAATGAGTACGATTTTTCCATTCCTGGAGAGAAAAACCGTAGTTTAAAACAAGCACAGCATGATCCGAAAATGACTTTATTTTTTTTCCCTCTCAAAATCATACGCAATTAATGTTTACATTTATACGGCAGAAGTAATCCAGCCTCTTCGTCGGTTTGTCCTTTCTACCTGGCTTTACACCCTTCAGCATCTGCCGAAAGCAATTATTTACAAACACTTTCAGGCAATCTCGTCTTTACACCTCCCACGAGAATTTTCCGCAGTTGATTCAACGTCTTCTTTATGGAAACTCCGTTCGCCCTCGCCTTCAAAATCAACACATGCCTTGCGGAGACGTTGACATTACTATGCTCCCGCACTCCTTGACTTTCAATTCCAAACTCTTTATTAAAAATTAAATTAAAAGTTTAAACAGCCGACCTTCAGCTGAACCGGTGAGACAACCGTCGCAGATCCCATCAAACGCTAACATAGGACAGTTTAGGTGTCTCACTATACAGAGAATAATGCTTTACCAGTTCAAAAAAATGCCTTAATTACTAAACATTTAAGTTCAGCTAAATAGAGAACGCTGCTAACAGACAACAAAAGAGACAAACTATTCTGTTTTATTCTAATAAAAAGATCTGTGTTCTGTTTCCTGATATGCGTGTTCTGTTTTGCAACGGAAAGGGCATGAAGAGTTAAACAGGTATTCAAAAAAATCATATTATGCTGTGCATCGGGTTTTGCAATAAAGCAAAAAGACATAAATGGAATCAAACACAAAAAAATATTGCAAGGTAATTTTGTAACTAAAAGACATGAACGGTAATCTCTAGATATATTCATGTGACTATTAGTACAAGCTAGGGATCAAGAGTTCCAACTGAAACACAAGGATAAGTAGCTAAGTATGTATAATTTTTGGGATGTTTCTCCAGGAATGAAAGACAATGTAACAATGGATATGCATTTGTAAAAAAAAAAAAGAGGTAAAGTCGTTACATAATTTCGTCGTGTAGTGTGTTAGTAATCCCAGATGATTAAAGTGTTATATTATGTAAAATGATCTTCTCTGTATTAAAGAGCATAGGAAATGGGTTTAAGAGAAAATATATAACTTCTGAACACAAATTGGTCTTAAAAGTGATTTCCATGATTTAGCGACACGTTTTACTGTGAGGAATTCACTAATTTGCTTCACTTAACTTTCATCGACATTTTTCCTTTTACTCGATCAAAAAGGCAAAATCATGTAGAATAGCTGCAAATTATCACCATTTTGAAGCGCGTGTATTAAAGCAGACTGGAACTTCGAGCAATCGGCGAGAGGAGTTACGGAATTTCCCTTAAATTAATTTTAAACATTAGTGATATTTGAGTACAGCAAAAAATTGAAATGGGTGAATTCTTTTATCTTTTTAAGTCTTTGTTTTCTTGTAATCTCTCGTTTCAGTTATCTAGCGCATTTTTCCTAATTGTTTTATTATTTCATGGGCTAAACCCTCGTTTTAACCCTAAATTACTCACGGATATGCAAACGTTTTTACTTGGAAAAGTATTTTCGTCGAAAAAAGCCTGAATTAGTAACTTAACAAGTTTCAGTTTTATTATGCTCAATGGGCAATGAATTGAGATCAATGTGACGAACGCAAAAACCTTTGTTTTATTTTACTTTTAAGACATAAATTATATATTTGGATATAACACTCTAAGTTTAAAAGCTGATCTGTACATTACTAGATTCTCTAACTAAGAGAAACTCGGCAGATTTCGAACAAGTACGCACGAAAGTCAAATTCCACAAAAAAATAATTACTTTAAAATTTCAAATGATAATTAAATAAACTGCAGTTCGTTGCTAAAGAGTTTTGCTCTCTTTCTCCCGTGGCTCATACTTTAACCTGCATTGGAGATTATTTTCCAAGTTCTGATTACACCAACAGTGTACAGAAAAGCTTTTACGTCTCTATAAAGCCCGAGACAGCGCTTCTTATTAAAGAGCTTACCGTTAGCAACAAAATTTCGACCTTACATCGTGTTTTCTTTAGCATGTCAGAATGTGTTTGTAGTTTGTTGACTCTATGTGTAGCCGTAAAACGATTTAATGAAACTATTATGTCTTTCCTATGCCGACTGGTCTCATGCGTTTAGCGAAAGGTGAAATGAAGGATTAAGTGTGGAGAATTACTAAAACGGTGAAGAGCGGTTTTCCGTCCTTTCTTCAAAGCCGCCGGCTCACACATAAATGCGCTGAACATTTGCGTAACTTTTGCACGCTGTTCAATTAGTAAAGTATTACTTTATACTTGCCACGTGTTTTAGCACTTGGGTTCGACAAAAAGCCGCTTTCTTCACTCAAAATTTACACGGTCAAGTTTACAGAGCCTCGGGAGAATGTTTGGAGCTCATATGAGAAGATCAGTCAGGACAAAGCACTAGTCACATTTTCCCGTTTCTTACCAGCTAGTAAAAAAAATTGACTATTGTACCTTATTGTCAATTTACAGCCTTCTAACGTTCTTAAATGAGTAAAAATTGACTTTTCATTAACTAAATGATTTATTGTAATCGAAGACTTTCGTTTTCCAAATAAGACTTCGTGCAATGATTCATCGCCTATAAATTTAAGTTTAGAACGAGTTTCTGCAAAAAATTGGATATACGGAACAGCGAGTCGATGAACTAAACTGTACACGTCGGTATATTTGCAAACAGCTTTTCACAAAATGTAAAGTACCGCGTTCGATTTAAGTTACTGTACTTTACAAAATAGTTAAAAGCAACAATAACAATAACGAAAAGCCACTTCCGTTTTGCTATTACCTTCTACATTGGGTTTTTGCGTCTACTTAAGACGATGAGCTGCCCGCAAAGTGAAATTTGAGTAATCATGAGGTACTTTAGAAGTGTCTTCACCAATTAAACTAACAATTTCAACGTCGTTTTGATCAGCAATAAATTTAATAATGTCTCTGCTCGCATTTTTACATCCTAAATTGCCAAATAATATGTCTTTACGCCTCTACTATACCTTCAAATGTTTCTTTCTTGGTAAACTCGCTAAGTTTCGAGAGTTCATGGCGCGCCGTTCTCACGAGTGGAAATCGGTTTGACGCGCCGCGTGCCATGGGTACATTCGACTACAGTACGGTACAGGGGCAATGCGGCTGGAAGCCGAAGACGAACCGTACCAGTTTAGATGCGAGAAGTCAAAATTGGGCCGTAGAGGCAGGTATGGAGGCTCCAGACTCCTGTACGGTACAAAACCATCGCAAGACTGAGGCCGGAAGCTCTGGTAAATGACACTGTGGGTACTGTGATCCGTGTGTGTTGGTTTTGCGTGAGTGCTGTGTGTTATATGATCCTCGCTGCTTACACCAGAGGGTTCTCCGTGAGGTGGCAAGGGTTCCGCAGGAAACGATGGCCTCGAGTCAGGCACTGGGAAATGGTACCTGCTATCGAAGAACCCCGTAGTGTCATGCGGATAGAAGCTGAACTGAAACGGCGTCCCGTGAAGGAGCTTGTTTCTTTTGTTTGTTTTATCACGTTTTCTTGGTTGGTATTTGTAATCAGGATATTGTTGTTTATGCTCCTCTTTCAAACGCTTGGCTTCTTCGAAGTAATTCGCTTTCTCTTCCTCGGACAGTTTTTGCCATTCTAAGCCCAGTTTTCTACTGATGTCAAAGTTGTGCATCTGCGGATTTTCGTTGGCAATGACCCTCCTCCTCTTCTTGGACCAAAGGATAAAGGCGTTTAATGGCCTCTTAATTTTCTCTGAAGTCTTTGTGGAATCCGTAGAGGAACTTGAATCAGTTGTATTCATCTTGCGCACACTGCTCTTGCAAACTGTCGTGTTCCGCTACGGAACTGTTGTCCTATTCAGTATAGCTTAGCTGTCTAACACCTCCGCTCATTAAGCGGTCAAATCCGACGTCCGGCTTCAGTGCGCACTCGCGGAATTGTTACGTTTGAACAATTAAAAGGAGCTCCGCAGTTCTCTGATAGTAGAGCACTAAACACAGGCCTCAGTATACACGTGTTAATTACCTGTAGCTCAAAAGATACAATATTGCTTGATATAGTCCATAAATCCTCCCACACAAAGTAATTAAAGCTCTTTGAATCAACTAACTGTTTTGTTATTGCTGGTTTTATTGGCGATACATTCTTTGTCTTTTAAGACAAGTTAATTTCAATACAGGGAAACGAGAGCCCTACTGTGCTTATGTAAACAAACAAATACCCTTTTGCGAGGCGTGATTGATATTTTTATAGACTTCTTCTGTAAAACTGAACTCATTGTGTGCTCTGTTTACAAATCTCTGAATCACACTGTGAACATAAATCGGTACAAGTTTAATATGTTTGGAAATTAGCATTTTTCATCTAGGAGCGCGCGCTATTAACAACTTTTGTCAAAGAAAACCAAACATCGAAGGCAAGAAAGAAAGCGTTAATACGACCCGTTTGTGTGATTTGAATCACATCAAAGCTTCATATGACATTTTGTGTCATTTTTCTTTGAGTAACTTGAGGTTTTTTTGGAAGTTCTTTCGGTGCAGGTTCTCATCTCTAAATATATATTACAAATCTGCCGATCACATCTTCCGACTTGTTATAGCATTAACAAACTGATCTGTGTTTGAGAGTTGGTCTCTATTTACCGATTTGTCAAATCGCCTGACAACATTCGAAGGGTCAGGAATAAATGAAGACTAAATTTTGTTTCACGTCGTGGGAAGAATTTGCGGATTACTCCGTGAACCTATTCTGCAACCTGCCAGTTCTGCTTGCTTCTCAAAAGACCGACAAGTGCTCTAAGCCGACATGATATCGCTTTTGTAAAGCCAGGTTGTCATATAAAAGGACTTCAAAAAATGCCGAAAAAACAAAAGATTAGCAGTTTTACTTTGTACAATTCCCGCTATTCGTTTCTTTCTTAGCGCCGTTTTCATTGAAAGCGCATTTTATTACAATATAAACAGTGCCGGGTTTGACAAAGCGAGCATAAGAGCCGGTCAGGAAAAAAAAATTTAAGTTCTGCACTCATTTGCATTACTTTGAAGTCATGAAAGAAACGTTCATTTCTCCATCGTTGCAATGTAAACTCACAAACAAAACACAAATTTCACTCTGTGTTCTCTCTCTGTACACAAACAGGTCATGTCCCCAACGTCTGTAAGGCCATAAACGGTGTTACAACGGTTATATACATTGCGTAATTCATTTTTTAACTGCATTCTTAAACGACCCCAAAATGGTAAAGTTTGATTGAGCAATTTTTTTTTTCTTGGTGCTAACTACATTCTAATTGATTGCAACTCGACAGAGATTTGAGCCATAATTGTGAAAGGAGAATAAACCGCGCTTTGTGTTTATTTTGATTTTAATTTATTTCTTCGGAGAAATTAAGAGGTTATCGCGCAAATGCTTAATAACTGGAACATGTTTTGTAAAGAGCACTTAAAATATATTAAATCATGGTTATTTCAAAAAACAGAAGTACAAAATTTCAGATTTACGCATCAGGTAGTCCTGAAAGAAGGTTTAGTTTGACAAGCGTATTTTGTAATACTTTTTGTTTAAATTTTGTAGTAAGTGTGTTTTAATTCCAAAAAGTTCTCGCCTTCTTAACAAGCCGGCAAGTTACGGTAATACCGACTGCTCATCAAACAAAAGCACACCAGATATTGAACAATAATCACCGGCTTGACACATCAGTTGTGTAACAGTACTATAATGAACATTTACGCGTTCGAAAACAGTATTATAAAAAGCTTATGACTATGCTATATTCATTATTGATGCACGCTAAAAATACCCCAGGTTCCGTTTAAGGAAAAAAATGGAGGTCTTTATCTTCTGTCTGAAGGCGGCATATACCCTAGAAGTTTTCTAATCAAGAGTTCTCGTAAGATGCATTTTGGAGAAAGTGTCACTGAAAAAAAAATGCGCTCATGTTCAAATAACAATCTGTAAATCACAGACCGCGACGTAAATTCTGTCGTGAGAATTGTTTTTGTGTTTGTCGAGCTTCACTCTTATGCATACAAAATTCACCCAGTTTTGTTCATTTTGGTTGTCAACAGGACCATTTCCGCTCATAAGTCAAACAACAGACAGTGTTTGGACACATTTAATTTCCGTGACCTGGATTTGATTTAACAAAGAAAAAAGAAGACAACTTCAGTACAACAGGCCATAGACGTATGTGCATTCAGGCTGCTCTGTTAAACAAAGCATTTCCTGTGTCTTGAACTTAATATCCATTTTTATTCACTCGACGACGAAGCCATCATTCTTTCTATTTTAAGTCTCTGCACAAACTTCCAACATCGCTGATTCCAAAGGCATACAAAAGGGATTGTCAATGGTTTGATGAGCGTCAGTGTTCCTCTTTCACAATAATGCGCGAGGTGGCCTGGAGCTCAGCTCGCTGGACACCAGATCGGGAGGTCCTGGTTCCAGTCTTTGAAAGGTCATTTGAGTTGTTGGGCAGGGCTCTTTCTCACCCTCTTTTGTTTAGGTACCAGCAATCTATCTAGGGAACTTGTTGGAATTCTATCGACCACTCCAAACCCCTCCTGGCAAATGGAGCTACAATATTCCTCACTGCAGCATGTCTCACTACATAGCAAGTTCGTCCCAACCATTTCGCCCCGTTTACGATGAGGTCGCCCCATCCAATAGAACGACTTCAACCCGACTTTACCAGTGCACCAGAGAAGCTCTAGCAGCAATAAACCACCAGATCTGTAAGATCTTTACCTTCATTCGACGTAGACTTGACGAATATACGGTCTTCACCATAGACATGACTTGTTCCTCCTAATTGAAGAACCATATCGATATTTTTTTTTTGTTATCGCCAAGAGATTTGCGTATGCCTAGTTTCTGGCCAAATCTTGTCTGTTTAAACTTAAGGGAAAGTCAGCAGAAATGATCTTCCTTACATACCAGCAAAAAAAGAAAAAAAAATGGGAAAAGAAACTGAAGAAGTCGATCCTAATTTGATTCTTTATGGACAAGTCTGAGTTGTAAGGAAGAGCGATCAACATGAACGGTTTCCATTATTTCATGGAATAAAAAGCAAGCAATAATTAAAATTCCCTTTGGAAAAAGATTGGTCACAGTTCTTGATGATATCACACCCAGAGAGGACGATGGTCAGGCAACGATTCGGTAGAAAGAGAGGATACGGCTAATTAATCTGCTAAAAGTACCGTGTGAAAATGAAAAAGCATCGTTTACAACAAAAAATAAAAATGGATAAGATGAAAAAAGTGCCAGTGAAGATATAGAACAAAAAAATTGGACCTTTTAAACATACCATCTGAAAGTTACAGAACAACGGTCGAGAGTGATGGCGATTTTTCAGGATAATAAGTGCACGACAAAAGCTCAACCAGGTGACGAGTTTCAGACTAAGAAAGGGTTCATTTGTTACACTTGGTTTTTCTTTTTTGCTTTTTTATCAAGGGTGATCGCATTTTACAGAGAAAGGGTTTTTTAAATGCACCAGTGTCCTGCGCAGAGACAATCTTTTCAGATGATAGAATAAAAGATACAATACAAAAAAGAGGAATCGCAAAAAAAATAATATTAATAATTCAAACTCTTTGGGCCTGCTTCTCTAACTTTTTCACCCCTGAATCGATGACCTGGAAGTAATTAAGTAGTAGTAAAGTATGTTTAAACTCGTTTAGGAATGGATTTCTTTGTTTTTGCCACCCAAAACTCCTACGAACATCGAATGGTGGCGTGATTTGTAAGAACTCATTCGTTCGATTTACTGGTCGCAATTTATTGACAAATCTTCATCATCACCATCCCTATCGAAGCGAGTCACCCTGCAGGAATTCACTGAGCCAGTATATACGGTCGATATGTATGTCAGTCAGTCCACGATGGTGTCAATAGGCTGAAAATCGGATTAATACCTGCGGGATACCATGAACCTGCGAGACTGAAAAACCACATGAAAAGCATGCTTTCTTCTAAATCAAACGTGGTAACTTCAGCGCAGTTGTTGGGTCTTAATTAACCCTTGATATTGAGTAATTTCCATAGAAAATAAGCTGCCAAACAAGGATCTGGATCAAGCGGAATTGTGTCAAATATTAACGGCTTAAAACCGGTGCTGTCGGTCAACGAAAACAGAAAAAACGGAAAAAAGGGGAACGCTGTAAAAAGTGGTCCGTGAAAGTCAATCGCCTCTAAGATACTCTATTCTCACGGTCTTCCATGATAAGTTCTTGAAATATTTCGCTGCAAAGAATAAAATTCCTGTGATGATTATAAAAGCTGTGGCTTTAACAACAGTCTACATTCACAAATTAGTTTTCTCCACATACCCCACCTGGAGTATGTAAAGAAAAAAAATACAGCATTCCTTTTTTTGATAAACATACCCCCATCGAACTAAATTGCTAATATAAATATTTGAATGACATATCTTGCCAATGGACGTCATGCCATGAATGATAAGGACTGTACAACAGAGAAAACTACGTTAAAAAAAAACCTGAGTTGAGGTCTTCAAATATTTCAAGATAAATTTACACTTTCCAAAATCCTCTTAAAAAGATCGAAGAGGAAAAAGAGTCAAATAATCGCAACAGACAGTAAAAGTTGAGTGAAAAGATATCAAGTTGTTTCTTTTGCGGTAATAGCGGAATAGTTGAAAGGGATTATAAAATTATTCTTTTTTATTTCTGTTTTTCTGGAACAAGGATAACGGCCTGTAGTGAAGAAAAACTTTATGATTGAAATTGAATACCAGGTACCAAGAGAAAAAAAATATCCCATTACCTTTTTCTTGGTTGAGAATTGATTCCTTAGTCTAACAGTAGACCAACAATACAAAGACGTCCCCTGATTGTAATCCTGAGGTAATCTCGACTTTACAGAGTCTTTTCTCAATTATTGCATGATTGTAAGAAGCTGAATGTTAACTAATCTACACTGCAGGAACATATGCTATAAGGTTGTTAACGGGAATGAGTAGAAATGTCTCGCCTTTTCCCCTCAGTGTGGTTCCTAGACCGGGACCATCACCGAGAATTCTCCCTTGACATTCTTCTTGAAAGTTCTCCGTTCCCTGCATGTGTATATTGGCGGAAAGCATAATATAAGTGACTGTGGCTTGCCTGAATGTACTGGCCCCAGACCGAGCTCAACGTTGGCAGACAACTCGATTCTGAATCGGTTACGCACTAACAATTAAGGTAACGCGACCCACTGCTCAACGTATTTCCTAAAGAAACACAACTAAGAATTGGGGGGAGGATTACTTTCTAGCCAGCAAGAAGGGCACTAACACATGTTTCATTATTTCCTACTCTTTCGTAGGATCGGAACAGGAACAAAAAATTGCCTTACATACCAGGGAGCTCGAATTATTTGGTAAAGGAAGGAAAACTCCGTTGTAGGCAAATTGACTTTCAAGTTCCAATAGGCAGGAGAGGTTCAGTAGTATGTTCAAACGCCCCATTTGGATTGTGGGATTTTGTAAAGACGGAAAGCTTTCATCTTCATTCGTTGTATTCTAGTTTTCAAACGAGAATAGCTGAGTATCATCCGTCCTTTGTTCTCTACATAAACTTTTTCCATGAGCCTCTCACTTAGAAAAAAAAAAGCCTTAACGTTACATCAAACTTGATAGAACCTATTGCAAAAGACGGTCATTAAACATTGAGGCTATAAAATACGAATTGTTGCAAATCTGCCCGTGACGTCATATTTTCCTTGAATATGGATGTAAGAAGCCCCAAAAGGTTTGAGATCAAAAGACTTTAATTTTAAGGCGAATGAATAGCTGGAATCCCCGATGATTCTGAGGATCAGCAAAGGCTTCGAATTTTTACCTTCAATCTGGACAGAACGCGTATACCCTATTTCAAGATGCCGTGAGACATTATCCAAAAATTATCAAAAGTCATGCGATATCGCGATATTTTGTTTATACGTTAAATGTATTTATTTCTTTTCATTCCCGCTATTATGAAAAAATTAAAATGAACTTTATTGTGTTTAATTTGCATCAATTTTTTTTATCTATTATTAGTGCGCCCTGATATCCTTTGCTATAAATATTGCAATGATTGCAAGAATAGATGAGTTTAATCTTTTTATGCTAAATTATGTCACTGTTTAGCATATGCTAAAACAATTATTCACTTCCACTTCGGCGAATAGTTGTCGAGTAACATATTTTTTTATTATTATTACTATTTTATGCTAATTGCATCGGCTGTGTTCGCACGAGTAAAGTTTATTTCCTTTGTTAGTTCCAACCAATCAAAGATCACATTGGCGATTCATTTATGGAAATTGCGTCATCCCAGGTTAAAAAAAATATTATATAAACAACAACGAGCGCCACCGTGTCCAAACGCTAATCTTCACCTCGACTAGCTTCCTTTCTGCCTAAAAACTCAGCGTAATTTCTGATCTTGACTTGAAGCTATGGAATATTTTGACGAGTACGACCATTACAACTTCGATCCTGTGGCAAATGCTGTGAGTACTTCGCGAAAGGGAAGGACAAAACGCGAAGCAAATTTGAACACGAACCGACCAAATCCTGGAGGACACGAGCGAAAGGTAACGGAAAAACTAAGGAATACTGAAAAAAACAGGAATGTTGTAAAGGGACCAAGATCCAAATAGAAGCAACTACAAGACGAACAAACTAATCACGAAAATGTCCACAAGCAAGGACCACGCTATATTGGAACATGGCCTATGATATTCGGAAATGAATCGAGTTTTGTCTGCCAATGGACATGAGGTTTGCTGCTTGTTGTCGATAGCAGAGTTATGCCCGTGAAAAAATCATTGCTACTGAGGTAGCGGTTAACTTATTTCTTAAATCAAGCTATAAGAATTGTTTTCATACGACTGTGATGGAGAGGTAAATATGGACAACAGCCTCAACAAGTAGGACTACTACAAATGCCGTTTCGGAGTATTGTTTTGCTGCTTGACTGATGTTCCCAACTCTAGAGCTGCCGAGACTTATCCCTCTAATGTACATCAACATCTACATTTCTTAAGTTGGTAAAATCTGTTAAGACATCACACCAACTAATGTAATGAGTGGTCGTGCAATGAAAACGAAAATATAAATCATTTGAAATTAATATTTCGAGTGATGTTATATTGTGCGGATGCCAGACCCTAAGGGCGGTAAATTAGCGCAGTTTCATCCTCAAAACATCAGCGAATGCTAAACCTCTAGGCATCGAAAACGGATCTTCCTTTTGATGCAAGTTTAATGTATTATTGTGGAAAACGAAAATGAAAATGTTGAGTCATCTTGCATACTTTCTAATCACGGAAGGGTCACGAGCTCAATTTTAATCCCTACCACATAAGTCATAAGAATATCAAGTAACGCTAAATCAAATCACTTTTAAGTATCTCCTGCGAAGTGGCGTGAGTTTTATTTCCACCCTTTGCGTTCCCTCATGGGTCATTTATCTCTAAGACAACTAGTTAATCCCGGTTCCCTACAAAAAGCGTTGCGTGACATATGAAACCCCTCTCCCCAGTCCCGCCTGTGATCCGCCAGGAATCTTAACGAGACTCCCAGACGCACAACGTACTTGATAATTTACCGTCACTACACCAAATTTACCTTCACTAAAAATCTTTTACCGACACCACACATCATTTACCATCCCTGAACACTATCTATCGTCATTAGACTATATTTGCTGTTATTGAAAATCTTTTACCGTTCCAAGAACCATTTGCCATCATCCGAGCTGCCAGAATTTATTTAACCCCAACGTCATAAGCTACCGTTCTAAAACTTCCTATAACGTGACTGAACATCATCCCACAGTAAACATCGAAGCGCATCATTTATCGTCTCTACACATGTTCATTCATCGTCATCCTTCCTTTTCGGCGAAGTCCGGTGCACGAGTCATAAGAAAATCGGACAGACGACAAAAACCAAAACAAATAGGGGCTAACGCGCTGTGTGGAACTCTGGGAGCAAGAAACACAAAAAGTAGTGACTACAAACGAAGCCCTATTTTTCGAGCGTGTTACTGCTAGTGAATGGTGCACTAGACACTCTTTGTTTCATTTTTTTCTCGCTTGTTATTTTTTTCCTCGCGCGACGGGTTTCGCCCAAAAAGAGGGATTGCTCGTAGTCTATCGTAGCCACTACCTGTCATTTACTATCACTCGTTATTACCGGTGTCTCTAAACATCGTTTGCCGTAACCACGAGTCACTTGACGTCACTAAACATCATCTGCCGTCTCTCCATATCATTTAACGTTACTTCTCATCATTCACAGTCATGAGACATCATCGCCCTCATGCCAACGAACTGTCCCCTGACATAATCTCCCATTTCTACACAATATTGGCTGTCTCTCGACACTGTGAACGGTCGCTAAACTGTCCTCCTTTTGTTAAAATTTTAGCATCGACAAGAGCCGTTAATTTATCCTCCCTGCATTGTACGCCACATTGCATTTTTATTGCAGTAGTCCACAACTTTACAACAGTGGCACATGCAGTCATAGACTGCCTTTTATTTACCAACGTATTTAGTTAATTCTATTTCTTTAAGCCATGTCTTTAAAGGTTTTAAAAATCGCACATTGAAATAAGTACGAGACAAAGCGAAATCTATTCCTAAAGAATAATTCTCTGGTGACATCACAAATATCTATCGTATCATGGCAGAAACGTAAGTGCAAAAATCCCCCAAAATTAAATTTTCTCTCTTTATACAATTTATACTTCACTCTTCACAATTCATACAGTATCAATTACTTCTATATACTCTTAATTTGGTCATCTCCCTCAAAACGAGAAGTTTAAGACGAATCGAAAATCTCACCGCCAACGTTACACGACCTAAACGCTGTTGTGCAGCGCAAAGCTAGTCTTGTCGCCAATTTAGCGACGGCAAGGCAACTTCGTCACACTTGAGGAGAAGGTTAAGGAGTAATGTTTAGTGAGTCTGCACAAAGAAGATCCCCATAACATTATTCTGAAGACAGAGACAAAACGAAATTGGGATTTTTGAAAACCTGGGGACAGGTCTGACTGACCAATCAGACAGTGCGTCACATAAATCTCTTGGTACTTTTCTGTAATATTCAATAATTTTTTTACCGTAGCCTGATTATTGCAATTGAAAAGGTCAAAAAGCCTTTGATTAGACTTTTTCCAAGCCAGCATTGGGCTTCGGGGAGACTGACGAAGAATTTCCTTCATGTCATGAGAAGACTTTGACCATAGTCTCCATGATTAAGTTCGTCTTTTTTAGAGAGCTAATTTACGGTAGGAAATTTCAACAATTCTACCCTCATCAAGTTCAACATAAAAGTGATGAAGTGTTTGATTGTCAGTTGGTTTGTTTTCTCTGAGTGACACATAATTATCATCAGAAAAAAAGAGGGAAGAAAAGGGGGAAAAACCCTTCATATAGCTAAATGGTTACAGCCACTTGATTGTAAATTGTGAAATTAGGAAATTTTAGAAAAAAAACATCGAACACGAAACAATCCAAATTTTGGTAAACGAGTCTTACATGCCTGATTTTAGAGCACATTGCTTTGTGTCGCTGTAGAGTGGCATTTCTTTTCTGATGTTTTCTAAAGATTAGCGTTCATTTTGAGACTTCATCCCCTACATTCGTCCTAGCAAGACGTTCTTACCAAAAACTGCATCCATTAACACCAATCAAAGAGATTTAATTGTGTAACACTTAAAGATTCCGTGGACTGCTCCAAGGACCTGCTTATTAGTATCAATAAACCTCTCACATTCCCAGCACAACTGATTCTACAGCTATCCTTTTCGCTACGTCGATGGTGAAAACAGCTCTGAGCCTGTATCTTCCCCTTCGGAAGGAGTTTGTATCAAAGGTTCCAACCTCCCGACATTCAATCCTCCGGTTTGATGCGGCGAAAGCGTTGAAGCTAAAGATAACGACGACTGTGAACTAGATCTTGATGACAACTCGGAATTGTTTCCTCTGCTATCCACTGTCGTTGAAAACGTCTCTGGTATTGTAGCTGGGTTGCGGTACTTCTTTGCTGATTCAGGAGAAGCACTGACTGGTTGCGCCGCCCCAGGATGCGACGGAAGGTACGGTGCTGAACGAGGCGATGAAGGGGGACTGCAAACGACCAGAATTAAAAAAGATGTCAGATAAATAGAAAAAATTTTTAAAAAGAATTTATATATATATATATATTTATGATGATATCATTGCTCGCGCGCGATTGGTCTAAAGATATCACGTGACCGAATATCCCACGGATAGAACTGGGGGATATCCGAGAATATCACCCAAGTGATATTCCCCAATTTTCAAACCTTACGTCCACTACGACAAGTCTTCTTTTAAAATTTAATTCAAGACGAGAGAGTGTTTTGTGATTAGAACAGAAGAGAGGGAATATTTGTTTCTTTAAAAAGTCGCACCACAGAACACTCAAAAGAAAACATCCCACGCAGCAAAAAGAAAGCTATTCGTAAACATTTTTTCACGCGCGTTGCAAAATATTTGAAGGATAACATACACAATAGCCTCAATTTTTCGCTAAAATATGCTCGTACTGTATATATTTCCTTGGACATTATTTATTCCACGAAGTTCACTTCAAAACTGGAATTAACGCCAAACTATTGAAAATCTCTCCTGACTGGCAGTTTTCCGCAGTTTTCTCGGGTCCGGGTTTTCGATCATCTTGTTCCTAACCCTCACCGTGAATTCCCAATGTCATCAATTACAAAAGGGAAGGAGATGGACGCCACAACAGACAGTCTTACCTCCGCTGCTCGGTGGTCTGGATTTTATTGGAATCTCTTTTTGAGTTTGTCATGTATACATCACCATTAGACAGTTCATTTGCTGGGTCCTCAACTCTTCCCAGCATGCTGTACCTAGATTTGAATGAACATTTTGGTTTAATGTTTACATACATTTTTATTTCTGATTCTGCTTTAGCATCTAACCGGTTGAAAGCGGAGCACGAATTCTTTTCTACCAATGACGTACCGTAGCGAAGCGAACCCAGTGCAATCCCTCATTACTATTGACACTCGATTTTCAATCGAGTGTCAATATGTCAGTACGTCAATATGTCCTCAAGCTTACGTTACTGAATTGTCAGGGACCTTATGCAGACCACGACAGCGACGGTAACTAGAACGTGGCGAATGAAAAGATTTACTAAACCTAACCATGCTTCAAAAGTGTTCATTTTCTCTTAGCCTGTCTCCTGCAAAGAAACGTGATATCCCCAAATTTGCGGGATCTGAAAAAAAGTACACTAATGGCGAATTATTTAACGCTTCTCTTTGGGACTCAACGCTACTCATTTATGTTGAGCTGAAATTGACCTGTGGCGCCGGTAACCCTTTAACTCACATGAGTGACAAAGACAGACTTTCTCCTTACAATATCAATACAATATCAACCAGATAAGTGATGAGAATAAAGAAAAATATCAATTTGGGGATAATTAATTAATCCAATACTAAATTCTCTAAACTAACATTGTAAGAATTATGTGGTTGATAGTAAGGAGAGTTACAAATTTGATCTGGGAGTTAGAGGGTTAAAGACAGTAAACGCGTTCAGCCTTTCTAATCTCTAAATAAGAGTCTTTTTTTTTGTTTTTTTTTTTTTAGTTCGAAGTTTTCCTCAGCGATACCTTCCCGGGCTCGGTTGCTAAAAAGGCACTCAGTTAACGTTATCCAACGGATAAATCGCTATCCAGCGGATGTGTTAGCAAAACCCACTGCGTTATCCACTCGATAGCGATGTGTTATCCAGCCTCCGAACCACTTGAGGTCGTGAATAACTAACCTCTGTCCTTCGTCTTCCTCCCAGGTATCCTCATCATCACTGGAATCATCAGGGGCCACATACAGAACCTCAAGTGTTATTTCACCATGTACAGTGGACAGCACTTTCACTGCCTCGCTATGCTTAGCTTCCTGAAGATCAATACCGTTCACGGCGAGTATGGCATCACCCACATATAAGCCCCCTGATCTGTCTACAGGGAGACCTTCGTGTATCTCTGACACAATAATTGGCACACCATGTTCCTTTCCACCCTAAAATGGAACCATTATCAACAGGTATTAACCCATTAACCCCTGAGAGTAACACGCATCTGATTTCTCCTTATAGTCACATTTACTGGATCAATATCAGTATCTGGGCAACTGCCCACCTACCCCTCCCCTAACCCAACATTAGCCCTAACTTGTTATCAATTGACTGTTTGTTGAGTTAGGGGAGGGGTAGGTGGGCAGTTGCCCAGATACTGATATTGATCCCACTTGCTTATCCACAGCCCTGAATCAAACAATAAGGTCATAAGAAAAAGGGAAATGATAACCAACTAAAGAAGCTCTTGCATGTAATTGTTAAGGAAACACTCTCTGTTGACACATTAGGAGATGTAAAGAGAACAGTACGGAGACTATGCATACTGATGTTAGAGTGAAAAGGGTCAAGTTGTTTGCTATCACATATTCAGAATCTCTGGTTTCTGATTAATGGAACATCATTGCTCCAAATTTTATGAAATGGAACTTGACCATTTCACTTGCAGTAGTGATTCAAAAGAAAAGTTCCCCTTTACAATGTCAATTCATTTCAGGTAGAGAGGTGTTAAAGAAAAATGCATTCATAATGTTTGATCTAAAACCAAATTCTCTGAGTGAAGATTAAAAGAAATAATTTGTAGACAGTGAGGAGAGTTGATATTGATGGCAATGAAAAGGTTAAGTTGTAGCCTAAATTTTGAAACTGTTTAGAAGGCATTGACAGGTGTGAAACAGCACTTGATCAATTTATGCTCAACTCTGTTCTTTCATGTTGTTCAAACTAAACTCCTTCAATTGAGGAAAATCCACCACATGAAACAGTCTAAAAAGTCTTTGACACTTTTAGAACAAAAAGATGAAGTCAAAGACTCATGTGCACTGTTTTCAGCTATAACTAACCACATGTATTAATGAGTGAACAAGTAACATCAATTTAATGAAAAAATTGTTGAGCAAGACAAAACTTCTGTTACTTTTATTACTAGGTTTTGGTTTCCTAAGACCCAGTGGAAAAGTTTGCTTAGTTTAACCAGTTAAAATCCCTGAAATGTTTGAAAAACAACTTCTCCTTACAAAATCACTTAAACAGAATCAACAAACCTTTCTTGGTGTCCCACCCACTTATGCTGACTAATTTATGACAAAATATAAAGCAGTGAGAGGGAAGATTATTAGAATTAATAGTTGGATCTTGTCCTGGGAGCATAGGGGTCAGAAACTTAGTTTTGAAAGTAAAAGAGTAGGAAATGATTCCACATACTCATACATGAAACAAAATGAAAAGCCCCTTACGGTAATGGATATTCCAAGCCCTTCTGTTTTGCTTTTTTGAATCACTACAGTCCTGGGTTCGCCAATTCCTCTCCTCTTTCTTGCTTTACTATCAGAATCATCTTCATCTTCTAAAGCTTGTGGTTCTGGAGGTGGTGGTGCTGGGGCCTTGTTATTGGGGTCCTTGCGGCCTCTGCATGCTCTGATCACAGTTTTGTGCCTGTGTAGGTGTATTTCTGCTTCAATTTGGTTCCAAAGTTGATCATGTTCACTGCCTCTCATGTCACGCCCAAGCAACTGAATTTGTTGTATTCTGTGATATGAAAAGAACATAACTTTTGCTTTCTAATTATTTTCAATAATGCCTGTGAGTTAATAGCATACTGAACTCCAGTTTAAATACTGATTAGTGGCACAGGGAATGATGTGGAATGCTTATCATGCACCAGGGCTTTCAAAAACTTTTCTAATGAGCGGCTGTCAATGGTGTAATGGGCAGTTGACTCATGATGCAAAAACCAGCTACAAGAGCCTGCTGGCAGGCTAAACAGACAGCAGTGAGAGGTCTTACTGGCAGTCATGGACCATTGCTAAGCAACTTTTACTGAAATCCCTGCATGCACCGAAAATTGGTTCTTTGACGAGACTTGCACATTGTGCAGCATATGCTAGAAAGATCTGTAATACAAGGCCAAGAGTACTGTACATGGCAGAATACCTATACTGATAATAAATCTAAAACAGACTTTGTCCATTTTCTCATGGGTGAGCATAAGACAGCTTGAAAAAAAAGAAACCATTAGTTAACTTAATAGAGATCACTTGAAACACTTTTCAAAACAAAAAAACAAACAAAAAAAAAAAGAAATACCAAGTAGGATACAGGCAAACGGCCAAAGGGCACAAGCAAATGTTAATTTTTCTCACCATCTATTCCTACCAGGGCTTGCTTTTACTCATAATTTTCTTCCTAGTTTATCTCATTACCATTTTATGAGTTCAGTTAGAAAGCAAGGTTAAAAAAATTCACATCAGGACAAGAATCTGTCCAATTGAAATACTCTGCACTACACAAACATCACAAAGCCAGTGAAAATGCCAGCTCCTGGTGCCTCAGGGGATCTCTGTTTTTGCCATCTACCTGTTTTCTATTTCGTTTTTTTTTTGTTTTCTAACAGCAAACTTACCTTCCAGCTAATTCTTTATCAAGGTATTTGGCAGCTAGTCTTGCTCCATATACTTCTCCTTGCAACGAAAACACGTGGTTCCTAAGTCCTGTGTTTTCTTTTTCCAATTGTTTTATTTGGCAGTCCATGCGAGCCTCCTTCATGGCATTGTTTTTATATATGCTCATTTCATTTTCCTAATAAAGAAATATATAAAGTAAAATAATGTGAAAAGAACTAAAAAAAAAATTGACTTTTCTCAAAACTATTGAATGGAATCATTTTTTTTTTAATAGTCCTTGAAGCTGAGGGTCAAAGTACAATGAGAATCCAATGCAAGCCTAAATTCTGATTAAATAGATACTGAAGCATCTTCCTGTAGAAACAGACAGAAATATGAATAAACAAAGATCAAGAAATTTGACAGAATGAGACAAAAAGAAGGGAAAGTGGTCACCTTATATAATGCCAGCTTGTCAAACACGTCTAATATTTCCTGAATATAGCACACTACAAAAGTGGGCAAACTCACTAATTTCTTTGACGTGAATGTGCTAAAAAATCATGTGCACTGTGCGTGTTTGACACGAGTACACAACTACCACTATATACATGAAGAAATGATAAAATTTTAGTTTCACATTATTGTGCTTCCTGGCACTTAACCATATTTAAGGAAAATGAAAAAAAACTTCAAAGAACTTTACAGCTTAAGTATTGGAACTTACTAATTTGTTCTTAATATTTTCAGAATCCAGGGGCATTCCAGTATTGGAATGTAGCTGAAGTTGAACAGCATGTAACTGTAGCAACAAATTATTAACTTCCTTCTCCAAGACTTGTTTGGCAGCTTTTTCTTCGACCAGATCATGCCTAAGAGCTACTAACTCTGCCTGGAAAGTACAAAATTATGATCAACACCTTACCACATTGTTGGTCCACAGTATGCCATTATTATTATTTTATTATTATTTAATTATTATTATTATCATCATTGTTAGTGGTACAGTCAACTTCCAATATCTCGAACCTTCAAGGAAAATTGAAAAAGGATCAAGGTGTCAGGAGTTTGGGTTATCAGGATTAATGAAAACTATATCCTTACAGTATAACTATATTTAAATCAAATTTAATTATAGAGAAGGTGAGTGAAAATGGAACACTAAATTACTGTACAAGTTAAATGTTTTGGATTGCAATACACTATTTGTTTCCATTTGTCAGGTATTAATAGAGGTTGTAGGACATGGTTTGAGTTATCAGGGGTAAAAGTACATTCTAGAGTTTGACCCGAAGGGAAAGATATATTACTTTGAGTAAGCAAGAGGTTTTAGTTATTGAGGGTTCAAGTTATCATGAGGAAATTGACTAAGTTCTAGTTAGTGTAAGGTTTGAGTCAATGAGGGTTTGAGTTGTTGGGAGTTGACGGTACTATCATTAATATTATCATACCTAGTAGTTGTAGTATTACTAGTAGCAGTAGTAGTAGTATCATTGTTATTATTACTATTATTACTAAATTATTACTATTATTTTGATTCTCTCTTTAATTTTGGTTTTCCAAAGTCCCATTGCATGACAAACCCAAACATTTCTGTCATTAACTTATAAAAAGAGGCATAAAAGTTTTCTTTTCAATGATTTCAGTACTCCTACACAATGAATAAAAAAAAGCCATGAAACAACCTATTCAGTGCACCTTTTTTGGCTCAAATTCAGTTTTCATGACTGTTTCATCATTTTCAGTCACCTTTTAGTTAAAGACACCTATAACACAGTTGCATTGAAATTGCACATTAAGGATGCAAAATAAAAATTTACAAGGAAGACCCACTCAGAAGCAAATCAAATTATATTCCACTTTTCAAGTTAAAGTCATTCATGCCAGTTCTAGTGAAAAAAAATCCTTCTATTAAAATTATCGCAGAAAAATGCTGATAAACACAGCATAGAATAAAATGCCTTAAACTCAAACATGGTGCATAGGATTATATAACTTTTAATGACTGGAAAAATTGTATGCTCACACTAGCTGAAATCACCTAGAATTATCCATTCTATTTAGGAGATATTTCAACAATCACATTTAACATTTTCAAATCTCCATTTTTGGTGTAATGTTTTCGTTTCATATAATTAATGGAAAACAAAAAATTTAGTCGGGCAAAATTCTCTCATCACTTCATCATTTCCCTGGTGATATCGCCATGTAGGTGGACAAAGAAAACAGAAAACTTGATTGTATTTTTTTTTCCACAACAGCTATTTTCAATATTCATGGATTACTGACCACCGTTTTTTGCTAACGATTTCAGAATAACCTACCAGTAACCTTAGAAGTGTGTCACCCTGAGTCCACTATGACAACAAATTACTAAATGGAAAGCCTTCGGTAAATAAATAGGAAAAAGAGAGCATAATGTGGACACTGGGATGAATTTTCCCTTGTTTCGATTCTAAGCTATAATATCCAGCGTTTTTCAAAGAATTTAGATAAATAGCGACATAGAGTTGTTCTGGGCATAATATGTAAATAGTTCCTTAGTGGGAAACATTGATCACATTTAAAATGACCAGATTATTTTCATTCACCTTGTGTTATCTTTTCAACGATTAAATTTAAAAGCTTAAACTCGGACAGGCGATGATCACAGTCAACTTAAGAGTAAAGCTCGCAATGTTTTAACTCAGAAACTCACCGTACCTCTAATTTGGCATTTCCCTGAAAAATTGTCTGCGCTTTGTGAACGAGCTGTGCGAAGGTAGAGGATAGCTGAGTCATTTTCTGCCTTCCATCATAAGTTATCTCACTTTGATCAGGATCAATCTCTCCTAGCAAAATATCTAAATCCACAAAAGTCTTGTCAAATTCTTTTTCTAACAGATCCAACCACCGAAACATTGACACGGCGACCGCCATGTTGGAAATAGTGTGTGACGTCAGCAACCGATGGATGAGGGACTTATGGGAAAATCAATGATTGGAAGTGCATAAAAGACGGACTGGACTTTTAAATTGTGGACCATACTCAAACACATACTGAAATCTGCTAACAACCCCAGATCCCACACAAGTGGTCGGTGAATAAAATGTAATTTAACCAGTCTACACGAGTCACAAAA